GTGGGTGGGTAGGAATGAACAGAATGGTAGAATGCCAGATACAGGTGATTTCCCACCTGAAACATGAAGGTTCCAGTTTCTGTTCAGATCATTTTAATTTACAACTAGGCGATCCAAGGAAAAGAACACTAAACCTGCTGTGTGAGCTCGCCAGTCTCCTCTCTGAATCACAGATTCCTTTTATCTAAAATGACGAGTCCAGATTGCTAATCGCCAACATTTCTCTCCAAGTCTAACACTGATTCTCTAAACAGTATTTACTTTCTTCACGAACGACCCTACACAACCCAGAGCTTTGGACTGCGAGCCATCCTCCTCGGCTTCCCTTTCCGGAGGCGAAGACACGACTCCCCGCTCTGTAAAGCGCCTCATCAAGCCTAGGGGGGTGAGCAACCTCCTGACGCCTCACCTTCCTGACCTCTCAAGAGCTCCCCACACCGCCCCTGTCAGCTCTCCGTGCACGCCCGATCCTGGCTTGCCTTGACGGCAGTTGTTTTTCCTTCCTCAAGAACCATAGGAGCAGTTGTTCTTCTTTCCTCTAAGTACAATATAGTCTAAGAATCCCTACTCGGCACTGTGCATCGTCTTTCCTGAAACAGAGTAAAGCCTAATCGACTTTTCGGCCATCTTCACGTCCTGGGCCCGCCCCATGCTCCCGGCCAGGCAGTGGAGCGCCGATCGGCTCGATGAGCCGGGGTCGCAGCTGCGGCGCCGCGGCAGACACTGGGTCTGCGCCCACTGTCCTCCTCCTCCCTGCCTTCCTCCCTGCCTCCGGTTCCTTCCCCCGCCCGCCCAGCTCTGCCCGCTCCGGAAAGCGGCCCAGAGCTGCCCGGGAGTCACAGGTACGGGCGCCGGCCTGATCCCTACAGGAGGGGCTTATGTTACGAGAAAGGAAGAGGAGACGCCTCTGCCCCGCCTCCCCCCAACGTCCGGTCGGGCCGTGCAGTCGGCCTGGAGGGTGGGGGCAGCTTGGGAACCCCGGGTTGGTGAAGGCTGAGGACGGGGTGGAGGAGGGGGTTTGAAGAATCGCTGCAGCCAGAACCTGGAGGAAGGTGGACAAGGACAGGAGTGTGCGGATGGGGTGAGGAGCTGTTGAGTAGGGAGAACTAAAATTGAGATGCGCTGGGGAGATGGGAAGAGAGCAGTTGATCGGATGAGGAAGATCTGGAAAGAGTTGGAGGCAGTCAGGAATGTTAGTGATGATCATGGAGCAGTTAGGACCAGAGTTAGGAGCAGGTATCCAAGGACATGGCCTACTGTGATAGCTGGGGTTAAGGGGGTGAATGGAGAGACTTGGCAAGGGAATGAATCTATTTCATTATTTAAGAGCTCGGGAGAAAGAGCGTCAGGCCTGCTGCGTTTTCACTGACTTAAAGGGAAGGATGAATCACTACACTTTGACAGGTTTTGTGACTAACATTTCCAGACTGTGTCCTTCCAAGTCACTTTATTTTCGTGAAACTGCACTCACCAATGAGATGAGAGATGAAGGAAGAGGATGCAGAGAAAAGGAAAACCTCTGCCGGGATTCAAGCTTTTTGTGAAATTAAATAGCTAGGGCTTTGGGGGGGAAAAAGAAGTCAGCGTTTATTAAACAACAGCTTAGAAGTTTTGTTGACTGTAAAAGTATTGACTACAGAAACCACTAAGAACATGCTTTTTTTTTTAAAACAATGCATATGTAAAGTTAGTTTGGTGCATGCTAAGCAGCAGACTGTGATAAGACACTTTAGTGAATTGAGTTATGGTTGTCTATCCTAAGTGTTGAAATGGGTAATGAAGCCTCTCTTCTTTACATGTATAAGTCCTTTTTTACATAAATAACCCATCTGTTCTGCAGTTTGATCTTCTAGGACAGCAGAACTGCCTTATAAGGTTCCCAGGACTATAAGTATTAAGGAAGTAAACTGCCACATCTTATTCCCAAAGAACAGCTGATGGGTTCAGTTTCTTGGTTAGTAGCCAAGCACTTTAAGCGTTGTGCCATCAGGGCTCCTCTTTAATTTTATAAATACCTAATTCACATCTGTTGTTTTGCCAGTGAAATCTTGTGCAAATATGATTTCTGCACGTGGCCCATTGCTACTCATTTGGTTGGTCTGGGATATCAGTGTAGCTAATGAATCTGCCTCCTGCTTTGCTAATAACTTCATTAGACATTTATGTCATGCCTTCATAAACTTTAAATTTGGGTTACTGTTGTTTCTCATTGAGTCAGATCATAGATGATCCTCCAGAAGGTATTCAGAGGCAGTAAATCACATGGGAATATGTTGCCTATGTTTCTTCTGCAGAGCAGTTGGTAGATTTGAACCATGTACCTCTGGATTGGTAGCACCACACCTTACCACCAAGCCACCAGTATTACTGGACCTGAAAGTAGGATTTGCTGCTCACCATTAAGCTTGTGGCTTAACTCTGTATTTCATAAAGATGTCGTATAGTTCTGCTTGTTGTTTGCTTTGTCATGTTGATGCAGCAGACCCTTTTTTAGGATTTAAAGTGTGTGTGTGTGTGTGTGTGTTTGTGAGTATTTATATATTTTGTGTATAACATGCCTCCAGAAACTCTATGAACTCTGATAAATGGTCAGTGGTTGTAGAGGGGCTTCAGGCCTTTTGTTCATGGAGTCGCTATGAGTCGTGCTCAACTCAAATGCTATTACCAGCAACAGCAACATACACAACTATATTACATGTTTGAAACAACTCAAATTCTTCCATTTCCTTTGTCCTCATTCCATATATGGTATTCTATAACATTTCTCCTTGAATGAATCGTTCTAAAATCAAAGTATGATGCATAAAATGGCCAGGTGTACTGACAGAAATACTGTAGAATGAAGAGATCTAACAAAGGTGGTTGGTGTTTCAAGTGTTTTCATTTCTGGTTTGGAAAAAAGATATTGTCTAGGTCAATTTATTTTGACAGGAAACTGATTGAAATATTATTTTGGTTTGATTTATGAAACTGGATCCTAATGACATTTAAAGATCTTCGAGGTGTTTCCGTTGCAGTGGAGCTTTGGGGTCTGCCACCTGCCACTGAAAAACTAAAGTTAGAGATGGTTCAGAGTAAAACAAAGCAGGAAGTTTATTATATTCCAATATATAAGAGATAGAATTCATATTCTAGCTTCTCAAATTTATCTCCCTTTCTTGGAGATGGAAGGATAGGATATTTTACAGTATTTTCTCTACCGGTGATAGTGGTCATGTCCCAGACTAGTTAATTTCATTTTTTCCAATATTCTGGAGGTAGCTGGTGCCATCCACATGTCATGGCTTAAGGAGAGACTTAAGTTTTGGCCATAAGTCTCTCTGTTACTCTCTAATTGACTTCAAATCAGATCTCAACTCATAGCAGACTGCACTGTGTGAATCATAGGAGAGGAAACTGCCCATCTTTCTCCTGCAGAGCCATTGGTGGATTCAGACCTTTAGAAAGGAGTCACCTTTGGCTTAGCACAACCCTCTATAGCCTACAGCATCAGGGCCATAAATAGCAAGAATAAACTGGGAAAGGACATAGTCATAAATTGTTAGGGGCAGGCAGAAAAGTTTAACAAAAATCTTTCAAGAGAAGCTTAAAGGCATTTTAGTTTAAAAAGAAAGATCACTAGTACTGAACTAAGAGAAACTCCTTTTTTTCTCTTTAAGGCATTGTAAAATCTTAAGGTACAGGGAAAAGGTCAGTCTTGTGCTAGCATATCTATTAGTTGCAGAAGAAAGTCCTTTTGCCTAAGGTATTATAAGATGTCAGTTTTTTATTGCTGTATTGTCTATTGTATTTCTTATGGAGGCATTTTGAGGGTGGCTGGATTATTCTAGGGAAGGATGGTTTTCTAAAAGCATTTTGTAATTTGATGGACAATGAATTGAGTAAACATTGAAATAGATAATTCATAGCCATTCATTGGTTTAGTCTTGTGTGTCTGCTATTTAAAATGTTAGTGACTAACACTATTACTGACTGTATCAAGCCGTAATTTTCTTTTCATTTTCAGTATTTATTTCAAGCAGAAGGACTAAAAGAAAAGTCATAGATTGAAGCAGTAGGATTAAAAGTAAGGAATGAGAACTGTGCCTGGCACATAATAAAACATTGAATACAGTTCATTACCATACTAGTTTATCTTCCAATTTGAGACTCTGAAAACCTTGTAGTATAGTATAGCTTTTTGTCAAGTAAAATTTTATTTGGGTATGCAGCACTCTTCAGAGTTACAATGCATATTGGTCTCTATAAGGCTATGAGAAGTTTTATAGCAAGGAAAACTGTTTAACTAATAATTGCAAAATTTAGCCCTTGTGCTATGTCTTAGAATTGAATACAATAGTTTGCAGAATGCTATTTTTGCATGTGTTATCTGATCTGCCCATCTCACCTCTGCATAGAAGCACCATTTTACAGATGAGGAAATGCAGTCATTGTTTAAGCAACTGAAAGCTTTGTGTTAAAATTACTCTTAAAATCTTAAGAGTCATCATGTTTTGCTTTGGAGAACTTCCTCCTTTTTGTTTCTTTCCTAGGACTGTCCTTTAATTTTGTAAAAAAAAAGAGAGAGAAAGAAAAGAACCCCATAAAAACACTTTGGGTCACTCATTACTTCTACTTATGTTCTTGAGGATTTAGCTTATGATTTTAGTTGTGTCTTAAATGTTCAGGCCTAGCATGGAGGCTAGGGTCACTGGAGCAAAACAAGTGAGAGGGCAGTATTCAAAGTTAGGAATGTGAGGGGGCATCGTATTAAGGCTGGTTGTTGTTATTGTGTGCTGTTGAGTGGGAACCACCCATAGCCAACGCTCCTCCAAGTTTTCAGAGTCGGTAAATTTCATGGAAAAAGATTTCCCACTCTTTTCCCGCAGAGCAAATGGTGAATTCAAATTGTGTGCCTTTGGAATTACAATGCACTTTGGCATGTACCCAGATGTCTCAAATCTGATTAATTTATTTTTTTTCCTCTTTAAGGTGGTGTATTCTTATCTACTGGAAAGTAGAAAAGTACTTTGTGAGTGAAAAAATATGCCTCCCAAGTTCAAACGCCATTTAAATGACGATGATGTAACGGGTTCTGTAAAAAGCGAAAGGGTAAGTTCAGATCCTAGGCTTCAAAAAAGAGAGATTTAACATGTTTTCATTTCTACTATCAAGAATATTTTTAGAAAAATCTAAACTGTATTGCCATATTCTAATCTTACTTGTTTTCTTCACAGTAAACACATTAAGATTACTTAGCAGGAACTCTGATGAAGTATAATACATAGTATTCTCAGAATTTTTCCCATTTTAGAAATGTGATTAAGTGTAATCTCATGTTTTGGGGTACCTTAAGTAACTAGAGCGTAAACCCATTGTCCTTGAGTGAGTTCTAAAGCAGAGTAGTTCTTTACGACAGAGTAGAATTGCTCTATAGGGTTTCTAAAGTGTAAATCTTTATGAGTAGACTGTCTCATCTTTCTTCCTCAGAGTGCCTGGTGGGTTCGAACTACCAACTTGTTGATTTAACATTTGAGCCTTTAACCACTGTACCACAGGGCTGTAGGACTTCAGTAGCTCAATGAAATCAAGCACGTTAATATTTATCAGTCATATATATGATTATTTTAAATGTATAAATAAATGGGCTTTTTTTTTAATTAAATAGGCATTTGTTAATTTGGGTCAGAATAAGTTTTGGTAACAAAGTTAACAGAACTTTTTAGTTTTCAGAACCCCTTAGATATTGGAATTTCATGTAATAAATCTGGACCAGTAATTGCCTCAGAGTCTAAAGTGATTCCTTATAACTAAGCTTCCAGGCATCAGGATAAGATGAAGACTGAGCAACATTCTTCGTTATATAGATGACACAACCTTACTTGCCACAAACGAAGAAAATTTGAAATGCTTGCTGCATAAAATAAAGATTCTAGACTTCAATATGGATTACATCTTAACCTCAAGAAAACAAAAATCCTCACCACTGAGCTTACAGGCAGCATTATGATGATGGAGAGAAGACTGAAGTTTTTAACTGTTTTATCTTGCTTGGATTCACAATCAATACTCTTGGTATCAGCAGTCAAGAAATCAAAAGATTGGATAAATCTGTTACAGACCTCTCTATGGTATTAAGAAGTAATGATGTCAGTTTAACATGCATCTCATTCAAGACATGATCTTATCCATCTAAAAGCTGGACAATGACTAAGGGTGATAGAAGAAGTGATGTCGTTGAGTTGTAGTATTGGGGAATAGTATTGAATATTCTGGACTGCCAAGAAAACAAACAATTATTAATTGGAAAAAGTACAGCCAGAATGCTCTTTGGAGGCAAGAATGGTGAAGCTTCACTTCATATACTTTGGGCATGTTGTTAGGAGGGACCAATCTTTGGCGAAGGATTTCATACTTGGAAAGGTGAAAGGGCCGTGAAAGAGAGGAAGCCTCTCAAGAAGATGGATTGACGCTAAGTCTGTAACAATGGGCTGAAGTGTATCAGAGATAATGTGGATGGCACAGGATAGGGTAAGGTTCAGATCCATTGTTAATGGGGTTGTTGTGAGCCCTAGTCAACTCAACAGCACTTAACAACAATAAGAATTTATTGTAAATACAAGATATTTGACACCAACACTTAAAAGTTGACTATATATTTAGATAAGAGACCTTCTTTTTGGATATTTTATCAGATTATGACACTTGGTAAACAACTGGTTCTAGTAATCTATATATACATTACTTTAAAATTTTGAAGAGTCTTTTAAAATTTCCCCTTATATAATATTTTTTTTTTTTTTATTGCCTTTTTAA